GAAAGCACCAGCTGTCCCTTACCAGGACTTTCTACTCCTGTCAAGAGTTACAGGCTTGGAAATACACCCTGTCCATTAAACAGGGTCACTGTCAGTGAACATGGACTCAACAGACTTGAGTGTATGTATATATGTGTGACTGTATATACATATATACACAAAGCTATAAAGCTTCTAATATTGTGTGTTCAATGAAATTTCACACTTGAATAAAATGTGTATCAGACATTGAATATTTAAAATATAGGTTACTTATATACAATTGCAATGCCCCATATGATAGAAATAGAATAAAATGAATCAACACATCTCCGTGAGATGATTTGATCCTTGAAAGTTGAAGCAATTCAAAGTAAAAAACAACAACACGTTTATTGTGATGGTTATCATGAAAGTATAATCAATATGTATCTACCTGCTTGCGACTCTTTTTAGTAGAAGATCCATTGAAGAGAATGTTTGTGAAAATAAGAAGAAAAGTCAGCGTGGACAGACCTACGGCTGGATTGCAGATCTTCACCTGCTCAAAAGAACTTACAATGAACCATATCCTTCAGTGTCCCTTCACTGTGGGAAATCCTCCATGGACCGATTATCATCATCACTTAAGTGTCATCCTAGTTTTCACTTGGAATGTGACACCTGTCAGGATGGAGAGCACAGAGCAGTCTGCAGGTGTCCTTCCTCCCACAGTCCTGTGAGAACGCTAACTGAAGAGAAACCTAAAGAATGTAAGGACTATGGAAACACCTTTGGTGAATCCTCAGAGGTCCTTGTACATTTAAGAGGTCACAGTGAGGAGAAGTCTGTTGATAGTAAGGAACATGGCAAAGTTCATCTTTTTTCATCCTTGTGTGGGCATATGAGAACTCACAGTGGAGAGAGGCCCTATGAATGTAAGGAGTGTGGCAAAGGTTTTAAGGACTTCTCGTCCTTCTCTAAACATAGGAGAATTCACAGTGTAGAGAGGTCTTATGATTTTAAGATGCGTGGAGAGGGCCCTTTTGCATGTAAGGAGTGTGCCAAAGCCTTTACTCATCGCTCCTACTTAGTTAAACATCAGATAGTTCACAGTGGAGAAAAGCCTTATGAATGTAAGGAGTGTGGCAAAGGTTTTCAGTTCCCCTCATCCCTCACTAGACATAGGAGAATTCACAGTGGAGAGAGGCCCTATGAATGTAAGGACTGTGGGAAAACATTTACTCAACACTGCAACCTTCTTTCACATAGCAGAATACACAGTGGAGAGAGGCCCTATGAATGTGAGGAGTGTGGCAAAGCCTTCAAAGAGTCCTCAAAACTCACTATCCATAGGAGAATTCACAGTAGAGAGAATGTAAGATATGAATGTAAGATATGTGGGAAAGCATTTGCTAACCAAACATCCCTCACTACACATACTAGAATTCATACTGGAGAGAGGCCTTATGAATGTAAAGAATGTGGGAAAACCTTTATTCAACAGTCTCACCTTATTGCACATAGGAGAACTCATAGTGGAGAGAGGCCTTATGAATGTAAGGAGTGTGGGAAAGCCTTTTCTCGACACTCTCAACTTAATATACATAGGAGAATTCACAGTGGAGAGAAGCCTTATGAATGTAAGGAATGTGGAAAAGCATTTTCTCACCAAACATCCATCATTACACATAGCAGAATTCATAGTGGAGAGAGGCCTTATGAATGTAAGGAGTGTGGGAAAGCCTTTACTCAACACTCTCACCTTATTACACATAGGAGAATACACAGTGGAGAGAAACCTTATGAATGTAAGGAGTGTGGGAAAACCTTTATTTGTCACTCTATCCTCACTAAACATAGGAGAATTCACAGTGGAGAGAAACCTTATGATTGTAAGTAATGTTGCAAAGCCATTAGTCTTGTTACAACCCTCATTCCGCATAGAACTCACAGGAAAGAGGCCTTATGAATGTCAACTTGGCAAAGACTGATTCCTCTTCATCCCTCATTGAACATATGATAATCCACATGGAAAGAATCCTGGTGCATGTATGGAATGTGCCAAAGCCTTTGCTTGTTCCTCAGCTCTCAGTTCACATAAGATTTCTCTCAGTGGATAGAGGTCTTAT